TGACCGCATCAATTTAGCACATTTTGTCTTTATTCAGTTTTTTCTACGGATCCGTTTTTATGCTGTGTGGACACTGACGCTTTGGATATTGGCAAAATAAATCAACTTAAATGCAACTTGGATTGCGTTTTTGATCAGCTGGCGCGTCATCAAAGATTCCCCTATTCAGCCGCTCGGCGACCTGGTTTGACAGTCGCTAATACAAAGAGATATAAAAAAAGCTTTTCCATGGGATGACTGAATTCACCCCAGAGATAAGATGAGGATCTCAATTCAAAAATCAAATCCGAGGTTGAATTAATTAACTTTTCTAACTTTCTGAAACAGCTAATTATCTGTTCAGATCCCAGAATAAGTTCTTACCGAAGTAATTCAGACAGACCTTCTAGTGCAGCTTCCAAGCTTATCTCATCTAGATCATAAATTTTTTTTGCCGTTTTTCCTTCATGTACAGTAACTGCTTTATCAAATTACATGTGTTACGCCACCTTTAAAATCTACAAGCTTACATTTTTATCACTTCCTGTGTTCTGTATTTGCTAAATGGAAATTACAATCCAAAAAGCTTATGCAGTTAATATTCACCAGAAATATTTTATACATAGTGACATTTCATTTTAGGATAGGGTCAATGTATCTTGATAATATTAGCATTGGAAAAAAAACTTTTTTTCAATATCTGTATCTAAAATTACTGACCTGTGGAACTGCTGGAACAGGTTCATAGGGATAAATGTCAACAGACTGTATTTTGTCGTGCGAATGCCATTGCCCTTGTACTTCTTGGACACGGCTTCATATTCCTGTTGGTGGGGGCCATGGCGGGCCAACACCGTCCTCCTCTTGCCGCTGACCCTTTGAGGGGAGCTTTTGCTAGGAAGGCCATCAGGCGCAGAGTACCAGCCTCGCTCCGAGTCTACGGACAGAAGCTGCCGACAGCGATGTCGCACCCAGTGGAAGCGCTCCATCTACGCGGCCCGAACTGCGGCCGGGCCCTTACTCCCACAGGGAACTCTGTCTTCTTCCTCAACTCTCTCAACAACTTCCTTCTGCTGACGTAAAACAATAAGTCAGTTTAAAATCCTCTCCAACATTTTGACTGACCTGGTCTGAATCAAGGTTGAGTGTTAAATAACCAACAAACATTGTGGATATTCTCTGCAGATGACAAAGAAAGACAACACAAAGTTAGAACAAGTCATGCCTCAATTGCGATGTGATACAATCCGCATCACAATGCATTTCCCTTTTTCTTCTTTCCTTGTTTCAACACAATGACAGCATGACCTCAACTAGAAAAAAATGTGTTTTCCTTTATTTCTGCATCCAACAAAGGAAGACAGTTCCTAGAATAAAGACATTGTCGGCAAACAGGTTTCAGTAAAGAGGCAAAAAACAAGCAACAGAAACCATCTTGATACAGTTCCTCCATAATGCATATTCTGTACCATGATAAATACTTTATAGTATAACATTTTGTACTGAATTATTTTTAATCAATCTTACAATTTGTATTGGTTGCAATCTCTATAAAATGAGTTTTACTTCATGGTATTCTATATTTTTGAAGTGTCCCTGTTCATTACTTTAGAGGATTAGGGTCATTTAATAAGATACTTTATTAAATTTTTTTTTTTTTTTCCAAGAAGTTCTAAAACCATTCTTTATTCAAATAACTCCATTAGTTTTATTCATTTTCTCAATAAAATTTAACTGAAAAATCTCATGTCCTCATGTGGGAAATGATTGCAGTTGGATTTTTTCCCTGCAGCGGTGACAGTATAAACAGAACAGCAGCAGCTCTTTCAGTCATATGATGTGATGATAATCTAATGCCTTTAGTTACCTTTAATCTTAGCTGCAGAACAAATGACATTTTCTTCTTCAAGTCCAAAACTCATCAAGGTCAGAACTCTCTGCAGTTGTGCGACAGGCCAAACCTGCTAACCTTCATTTGCGGCTGCTTTATTTACAGATGACATAAGAAGAATCCTTGTTTGCGATAATCACAGGAAAGTAGTGCGCAAACGTTCTACTCCCCCAATTTGCAGCACATCTTAATATTTAAACTTTGGAATATTTTGTACATGTCAATGAAATACTTTACTGTAAAAATATTAGAACTGTATTATCTAAAAACCTAAAATAACACAGCATTGAAGTTAGCTTGATTTACAATGTCTTGAAGTCTATTTTAAAAACCTGATTAGAGATTTTTCCAAATGGTAAAAAATATATATTTAGACAAACATGTAGACATCCCCTTTAGTATAAGGTCAAATATCTTCTAGAAATTTGCACCCCTACTTCATGTTTTGTCGCAATAGCTAAGATTCTGACATAATTCTGGCTGGATACTTGACCGCTCAGTTTGGTAGAAGTGGTAAAGTTCAATTTCATTGGTCAGGTTTCTTGGCGTTAGCTCAGCTTTTAAACAAAGTCCATAAAGGTTTAATCTCAGACCTTTAGGAATAAGTTTGGATGTATGTTAGCATATGTTGTCCAGTTGGAACATTCAGTTTATTTATTTTTTTCATTTAGCAGTTTATTTGAATTATTCCTTCTTTAATATTCCATAAGCTAGAGGCAATGCAACTAGCAGTGAACAAGTCCCACAGCATGAAGTTACCACCACCTTGTTTGAGAATTGGTAAAGTCTTCTTAGTTTTAAGGCCTCATCGTGTCTTCTTCCAAATGGGGACCACTGTTGCCAAACCAGCCAATTTTAGAGTCATCTAACCATTAAAATTTTGTTCAGAAAGAATTTGGACTCTCCATTATGGTTAGTTGAATATTTTAGTCAAGCTGAAGGGGTAAATTATAGAACAGGAGATTTTTCCTAACTGTAACCCATATGTTCAATTGGATGAACTGATTATCACAGAAATGGCTCCATCACACTTTCTCCAAATTGTATTAATGTACAATTTTCCTTTTTAGATCTTCACTAAGTTCCTCTGACTTTTTCATTGTTCTGAGTTTGGCTGAGCTGAATGAGTGAAGTCAAACTCCACAAAGAAAAACTGCTTTCAAGATAATTAACCACTTCCTGCACCCAACTCACTGTTTGGGCTTCAAAATGTTTCAGGTGAAAGTCAGTAGATGAAGTTCTGTTGACAGAATTAAACCATATTAATCCATTGAGCACTAAGTGAAGGATGTGAGTTTTATCTTTGACAAAGCAGGCTGACTGGACTTAAAGCAGAACTGAAAGAGGATTTCTGAGAAGTCACTGGTGTGGCCACAAATCAGTTGGGTTTATCTGTGCAGTTCTGAGTATGATTTATCAAAACTGGTGATAATAAAAAAAAAAAAAATCTGTTTATTATCAGGAGAAGCTGAAAAATAAACAGTCATTGGGAAAAGGTTGAAACACAAGACAATACTTGTTTATTTCTCCTTAAATAACAGAGGCTGACATATCTGAAGCCAAGGCTAGCAGATAGATAAAAGCCTCTGGATACATGTGTATATCTGAAGATAGTTCTTTAATTTTTGATCCAAAGGTCAGCAAAGGGTCTTTGTTATTCTTAAAGCATTTGTTTGCTTTGGGATTAGGGTTCAGCTTTAGCAAACTTCACACCCCATATCACGTACACAGTATACCAACCTGTTCTGGATGCTCAAGCATCTAGAACAGCTATGAATTAGATGCATTTTATTTACTTTTCCCCTCAGTTTCAGAGTAATACCTGAACATTTACTGAGGAATATTTGATTTCTACCTTTTTAAGAATAATTTGACAGCTAAACACTTAAATACTAGGCATGTTGCACATAACCTTACTCTGCAATAGTAATTTTTGAACTTTTCCACAATTTGTCATGTTATAAAAACAAATTTCTATATATATTATCTGGATTTTAGGTGACCTATAGGACAAAGTAGCCCATAATTGTAAAGAAAATGATATGTGTACTTTATGTTGTGGATGAAAATAAAAATGAGTGTGGCATGTTTGTATTTTGTACCCTTTATGCCCTCCAAGCGAGTAATTAGAAGAGTTGACGTTTCACAGCCATTCTCTGAAGGTCTCAGAGGTTTATTAGTGAGCAAATAACATCTGAAGGCCTAAGATACAGCAGGAACATTAGAGATTAAGCTCTGCAGATTTCTAAAGGGAAGGATAGCCTTTAAACATCCAGAGTTACTATGAGGAGAGATGCACAACTCAGATGTAAAAACCTGTTGATACAAGTATTTGTTGTGAAGTCCACAAATTATGTCCTGAAGGAAGAGTGGCAAGAAGAAAGGCATTGCTAAAAAAAAAAGGTATGAAAAGTCTTTTCCAAGTTACAAGCCATTTTGAGACAAAAAAAAGAAGGTGCACAGATCAGCTGACAATAAAATGTAACATTTTCGGCCTATATGAAAAAAACATTATTCCTTTCATAAGCAGGAATAGGGAAGCTGAAGATTTCCCTTCCACCAAGCCTACTCGTTAGAATAGCTCAGTTAAAGTCCTGAACTAAATCCAGCTCAGTATCTTCAACAAGACTTGAAAATTAATGTTTACACATCCTCCCTCCAATATAACCGAGTTTGATTTATTTTGCAAACAAAGGATGAGCAAATATTAACCTGACAGAAATACCCCGAACAATCTACAGTTGTATTAGAAAAACTGAACTGAAACTACGCATACATTTGTCAAAGTCCCCCCCGCCCCCCAAAAAAGAAAAAGAAAAAAACTTTAAAAAGACCCACAGGAAGTCTGCAAACGTTGCACCTCTTTCAAAGATGTCAGGACAACAGCTTTATTGAACCTAAAGGTCGGTGTTTACTTCCAGGACAGTCGGAGGCCCGCTGTCTAACATCGCTTGAATTGGAACTGTGAACAAAGCAAACCCCAGAGAAAAACTCGTGTCTCCCTCCAGGAAACCAGCTTCCCGTTACCCCTAATTCCTCCTTTACGTACCCAGCTGTTTGTTCCCATCCGTGGCTGGGCTCGACGGCTGCTGTCGGCTGGATCTTTTCGATCGCATCTCTGGAGTTTCAGCCGCAACAGAAGACTTGAAACTAAAAGCAGCAGGATGCGAGAACGCACCTCTGGTGGATAAGTGGTGACGAACACGCTCCTCTCCTCTTTTTGCAGTCGTGTTTGTAAGTACTTGAACATGTACATCCGGCGCTTTGTCTGAAAAAGCAATGAGACAGCTCCTCTGTTCGGAGGGGAACTCAACAACGCTCTATTTTCCGTGACTTGAAGGTTGACGGGGGGCAGTATTTTTCCTACTGCAAGTGAACGCGGCTCGGCCCGTCACGTGATAGAGATCAGCTGACCAGAAGCAGCTCGACTGAAGCGGATGAAAATATGGAGATTCTGAGCAGAATATCAGCAACAGATTGTGTCAAAGTGAGCATGAAACTTATTTTAGTATGATTTATGTTTGATATATGAGATTCAAAGGTTAAATTAACCTGATTTGTACTGTAAACTATGAGGTTCTGACTTTTTGTTTCTGATCTAATGTGAAGTCAGCATTTGCAGAACCACCTTTCACTGCCATTATCCGTTTTTAGACACGTTTCCAAACGATGTTGCACAACCATTTGCCAATAATGTTTGCAAAACAGCTAAAAGCTCAGACTAGCGGAAAACAACGAGATGTATGGACTTTGACTGGTCCATACGTTGTAGTTCATTCATTCTAACTCAAATTAACTATGATCTATCCATCCAATTGTCAGTCTGACTGTATTAGGGTTGCTGTTCTGTTGGAAGGTGAAACTCAGTCCAAGTCTTAAATATTGTGTAGCTTTACACCGAGGCAGGTTGGCAGTTGTGCCATATTCTGTTTTTAAATGGTAGATTGAACAAACCTCTGTGACACATTCAAAAATTGTGATATTGTGTTACCTTACTCAGCTTTAAACTTCTCCACATCTGTATTTTTTTTGTTTTTAACTGAGGTTAAATTTTACGTTGAAGGCAGTGAGTTGCATTGAATTTTATTTAGGCAAACGCAGTCTTGACTTTCTTTTCAATTCATAAATATGTATTAATTTGTGGCGATAAGATGCAAATTCTTAAAATACGCTGATATTTGTGGCTATAAATTGACTCCTTATGAAAAAGTTGAACCAGCATGAAAGCCTTTCCGAGCACATTAGGTACGGGTGAAAATGTACAGACTTGATGCTTGATAATTTTTTTTTTAAATAAAAACATCTACATTTCTAGAAACAATTCATTCAAACACCTGCTAGTGTTTGTTAGTTAAATAATCAGTGTTGCCACATGACACTGACTTCAGGTCTTGTAATGAACTACAATTCATCCAAAGTCATATGTAAACTTTGATTTAATGTTAAGGTATTATGAACATAAATTAAAAAATGCTATTACTTCAGAGGTTGTAGGTTTGAAACCAATCCCATTTTCTCCTTGAGTAACAGAAGACATGTTATGTTACAGGGTGAAGAAAAACATTTGAAGATTTTTTCTGTCGCTCACCTGCACATTACAGCCCATGTGGAAAAATTGGCAGATTGTTTGATGCATCATTATTTTTTTTCTGTCTGAATATTATACAGTTGAGATTAAAGGCAAAAATAACTTTCCTTTAATCTTCTTTTAAAATATATTCATCAAGCCAAAGGGCAATAAAACACCAGAATGAAGGAAGCAGTGATAAAGCAAAAATAACTAAATCACTTTAATCAAGTCTATCTAAAACATGACATACCTGCATCACATAAACCAGTATTCTAACGTCATAGTTGATGTAGTAGATCTGGTGCAGCCCTACCAAATAAAAATATAAAAAACAAAAGCATACAATTCAGTCTGATTAAAAAAGACAAATGTATAAGCCTACTTGTGGCATCAAACAACCATATGCCCAGTTAACGCTATCATTAATAATGCGGCCCTGTATAAAACCACTACAGCTTATTAAAGAGGATAAATTTAAAACAGTTTTCCTCCAAACCTACCACAGGGAGTGGAACACGTAGACCCAACACAGAAAATTAACACTTGGCCACCACCATTCTAGCTTCCCTTTTATAGAAGCTCAGGCTGTGGAGGGTCTGACACCCGGTGGTGCCACCTGCTACATATAAATCAGCCAAAGTGAAAAGGAAACACTGATCTGCTGTTGATGTATCCAGCTGTGTCACAGAGTGGTGGATGGGCTGTGTGGGCGGGAGCCTCCATGCAGGAGTGATTACAGCGCCACCTGGAGCCTGGAGGAGTGGCTGCAGCTACTAGACTTCTTGACCAGCCTGTTTGGCTTGGCGGTGGGGAACGACATCCCAGATGATGAGGTGAGCAGAGCAGGGGGGGCCGGTGATTTTTGCCCCACAGCTCAGGTCGTCACATCTTGTCCTGCTGGTTCCGTGCAGGTTCTGGCTAAACTGTCAGATGTAGATCACAGCCATGCCGAGGCGGTGCTAAGCGTTCTCAGAGGTCGATGGGAGGAGATCCGGCGTGCTCTGCTGGACAGAACCAGCAGCATCTCCTCTGCAACGTTGCAGGACTTTGACTGGCAGTTGAAGGTCAGTCAAACATCAGCATTTGGTGTTAGACGGCATCCCTAACAAGTTAAACTGGGGTAATAATCAATACCTAAAAACAAAGTTTTTTTAATTATTGAAAGTAGGCTCTTATTGCATGTTTCCCTGCTTCTAACTTTACTACTTCATGGCTCCTTGTGCCAACATTAAGCGTTAACCAGGAACACTAGGAATTTTGAAGCATCCCCATCAGTATCTTGCAGAAACTTACCCTAAATGAACAGAAACTTTGCACAAATCTGTCTGCTTTGAGTTTTCTGCAAAGCTTTTCTCTCCCTTCATCCTCTGCAGTTGGCTTTGTCCAGCGATAAGATCTCCTCTCTAAACACGCCGCTCCTCAGCCTATGTCTGGATGTAAGGGAGAACGGAGCGCTTCGGCCCATCACCATGGAGCTGAACAGAGAGGAAGTGAGCACGCTCATCAGCTCACTAGAGGCTGCTAACAAGGTACGCACACAGGAAACATGTCACCTTATCAACGTGTGACTGTGAAACATGACACCCTGTTTACCCTGAATGCAGCTCTACATAGGCTCATGCTGATGAACACTCCGGTCATATTAACACTTCCATGTCGCTCCTCGTCTTAATGGAGTTTAAGCAAGGCAATTTCTTTTGTACAGCACATTTTCAGCAACAAGGCAATTTAAAGTGCTTCAACAAGTCAATCTGAAAACTGATGCAGTTTATAAACACTAGGAGGCAGCATTACCACAAGATTCTCTCTTGGTATTGAGGAACAGAGTGAAAGCTGAAGCTGTTGCTTTGGAATTCATCCCTAGTCATAAGTGATTTGACATTTTTTTCTAAATGTCTTTTAGGTGGTACTGCAGCTGAAGTGATGGACTGATCCAAAAAGAAGCCGATGTTTTTGATGTAATAATGACTTAATGTTTTTGATGCCTTTTGTTCCATAATAAAATCCATATTTTCTTTTCTGATTCTGTGGAAGTTTGTCAAAGATCAATAGAAAAGTTAGTATGTTGTTCAATCATCCACACCGTTTTTACGTAATCCATTGATGTTGTAACCCATCCGTCCACCTCCTCCATCAGTTCATTAGTCCTGTAATTTATAAAAATGTCCATCATCCTTTCTACAATCCGTCCATTTAGTTTTAATAACAATTAAGTTCTCTGGAAATTTGAATATAGAAAAGGTTTGAATCTCGTGGCCTACTGATTTATTTTCAAATATATTCCATGTTTCGTCTCATCAAATCATTTACAAATTTTCATCAGCCTGATCTAAAGGAATGGACAATTAAGAAAATTATCTATCCTAATTGTTAGAAAGTGAAGTGATGACAGAAGTGTGAGATTTATTCAGAATATTATCATCCTGTGAGACCAGTGTCTATCTACAACACTCATTAGGCATGAGAGACAGAATACATCCTGGACACACTGCCATATATACACACACCTCTCTCAATTTAGAAACCAATTAACCTAACTCAGCTCTTTGGACTGTGGGAGGCAGCCGGCATACTCATGACTCAGCCAGGACCTTTTTTCTGCAATGAAACAGTTCCACCAACTATACCTCTATGCAGCCTGTTAAGATAACCAATGTGTTAGAAAATTATCAATCTGGCAACAATGTTAATCAAAGAAAGTTGGACTGGATTCCTCCTCTCTTCCTCAGCAGTCCTGAATATGACTAAACTGTATTCAAGGAGAAATTTGGAAGAATTTCAGTGAACAAATATAATCCTAGCAACAGTGATCTCTCAGACTAACAACATGTCAAGGTGTGTAATAGCTTACAGGACCAAATGGTCAACAGCAACAGAGTTGCTACAGAAGCAACAATGGGGTTCAAGGAAAAGAGTAACCTTATACAACCTGAGGCAGAACTGTTAGTTTGAGATGTTTTAAATGAAGCTTGAGTTATGAAAAGTCATTGATTAAAAAAAAAAAAACAATAAACAACTGATTCACCAATAGAGCTTAAATTATGGAAAAGAAAATCCACTGGCAGATGAATTTCTATTGGTTTGGAAATAAACTGTAGCTGTATGCAAGGAAATCAAATATTTTAAAGCCAAAAGAGCTGGCAAAGATTTCAACAAGTACAGTACTAAGAAATATGCTGGAAAACAAAAGTAGAAGAAGGGGTAGAAGCGAGAAGGAGCTATGAGATGGTGGAGGTAATGTTTAAAGCTTCCCGGTCAGTCTGACTGATTATTAATGAGAATTGGAACAAATGCTGACAGACAGAGCCAAGTAAAATGTGGTAATGATGTTAGTCTTCACTCCAGAGTGTCCAGTTAATCATGGGAAAGAGCCTGAGTGCTGACAGCTGCAGACGTGCTAACTGGGCTAATGGCATAAGCACGCTGCCTCATTTTCCGTAAAGACTTGACCCCTCACATGAGCAGAAAGAATCCAAACTGCAGGTTCCACTATAAAAACCTCACAGATGCCCTTCTAAAAGTGTTATTGTTAAAATTCTAAGTAAAATAAACATCAAATAAACTGTATTGAATGATGGTTATTTATTTTGATATCATGTAACTACTCTGCAAAGGACAACCAGCCTAATGGCACAAGAGAGCAAATCTCAGAAAAATCGTTCTAGAATGATCGACTCGTGGTGTGAAGTGGCAGCTACATACGAAAGTGCTCCCCGTCTTTATGCAAAAGTCCGTCCCTTCGGATCGCCTGGATCCACTGCCTCCGTTGGTCCGGGTCCGTCGGGAAACGCATGATATGACAAATAAGGCTGTTTTCTTCCCCCACATGAACAACCAGGGACTGAACAAAAACAACTGCGCCGAGACTGAGCCATTTTCCTAGCCTTTTAATGCTAACGCTATAGCCACCGGAAGTTGTGCAACTCCACATCCGCCCCGGCCCCGCGCATGCGTACAACCGCCCGGGCCCCGCGCATGCCCAAGTGTACTTGGCGGGGCGGGGGTATTGCAGAGTACATTTGGTTGAGAAGCGCATTCCAATCTTTGGTTGAAATGGCGCATTTGATTTTATTCTGCAGTCATAATACAGTTTTAAACAATACAATAAGTTTCAATTAAAGGAGCTGGAATACGTTAAGCTTTCAAGGTCAGTTGGGGGGGATTTTCTAAAAACGAATATGCAGGAAATGCTTTCTTCTACTTTAAGCTGCTCTGATGTTTCAGTCATTCCGTTATATGCATATATTCTACAACAACATAAACACAGGGAACATTTATAAAATTATACGTAAACGGTTAATTAAACGACCAAACCGAAAACATTAAAAACAGTATTTTTTTATGAAAAAAAAAGAAAAAGACCTCACCTCCATGTTGCAATGCAACAAATATAATCCTTGCTCACGATGTCTGCAGTTCTTAATCCAAAGCTTTGATTTTTGGTTAGCCTACGTCTTTTTGGGGTTAACATAAATCCGCAAACTAAAGTTACCACTTCAACGTCGTTGTCCATGTTTGTTTGTTTACTCTAAATTCAGCTGTGGTAGCGCAATATTTTAATTTGAAGGAATTTCGTATCTGGAATTAGAACGTGTTCGAGTGAAACCTCACACTCTACGATCGAACCCGTTACACCTACGATTTTAAATCGGCTAGTGTGAGGTCTCTCACACACGTTTTCAGAATCGGCCGACTTTTCTAAAATCGTGTCGTGTGAACTGGACTTAACAGTTGATAAGATTCTATCTGGCCAGTGAGAATCAAAGCAGATCAAATTCTGGAATTTAAAGAATAGCTATTCTTTATCTTCAGAGATAATCAGGCAATATAATAGTTGTCGTTAAGGTAAAATAATTTTAAATATTCTGAATTTATCAAAAGTTTAATTTTGAGCACTTCCAGAGCGACTTACTTTTTTGTATTTTTTTTCACTGGTAGGTACAGAAAGCAAGAGGTGTCATACAGAAGTTGGTGTACTTGAAGAATCAAAAGAGGCCTGTATATAAGAAAATGCTAAAGACCAACTTTATTGTCTTCAGCATATATCTCCATCCTTATATCATCAGAATCTTTTCCAGGTGCTCCATCTACATATTGGAAACTCTTCAGTTTTCCACTAAGATCTGTTTGGATTGGATAAAAGGGGTAAACACACACAAAGCTGTCTCTATGTAAGCGGGGTTATTGTTACATATAACTGAGACAAACGCATAAGAGACCTTTTTGGGTTTACTTCCTAAATTGTGGCGAATCAACTAACACGTGGGTTGTGGACAGCAGGTGGCAGTAGTGGTCACCATCTTGAATGAAACAATCCAGCACAACTCCAAACACAGCTGGCGTTATTGGCCTTTTTTAAGAGAAATAGAGATCTTTACAAGTATTTTCTGACGTCATCTCCCTCCAGATAATGATTACTTAACGTGCTGAAGCTGCTCATTCAGCTGTGCACAGGGACACATTTAGGCTTTTAGTAGCCTCATTAACTCAGCTATTAGGACGCATCTAATCATTTGATGCATGGACTGAGGGCATATGCTGACAAAATATTTTCTGGAAAATTAGCTGAAAAACACAGCCTTGTATATAAGTATTCAGCAAAGTGAAAATAAATGAACCACAAAGCAGTTTGTATGCAGAGATCTCAGCAGCTTTATTTGGACTCTTAATTCTCTGTAAGTTGACACAAATGATGCCTGTCCATGGCATTCTTTCACCTTCCACACACAGCCAGTCACACATGGTGTCTGGTGTTTGCTTAAATCTGCGCAGGCCGTTCCACTTGAGTGCACATGTGGAACATCACTTTAAAGGATCAGAAGCTTCATCCTCTGTCTGCAGCTGCAGCCTGCAGGGAAACCAGTTGCTGCATCCATTAGCTCCTCCGTCCACAGAAAAGAGGTCCATCTCTGGTGCTTCCTTTGTTCTGTCAGGGAAGCCATGCATCCATTCCTTTTTCTTTGAAAGATTGTCGTCATAATGCTGGAATGTCTCACTACAATCTACGCTTAGATAATGGTAACATACATTAGAGTCTGAGAAATGGGTTCTGTTTCCAATTCATCTTGTACAAAAAGCTCAATGTGTTTTCCTTACCACTCATAAGATAACCCTGTAAAATGTTGAGATTCTTGGTATAAAGGCACAAAGTTAAGCCGTACAGAAAGAGCACACCACTGTGATCGAGTCCAGCAGAAGCTTGTCTGGTTTTTATTTGTTTCTCTGTGATTAAAGCCCTCATAAAACTTGCAGCCTTTCATCTGAGGATCATTACTTTCACATAACAAAAACAACAAACAAAGAAAAACATGTTGGGATTAATTTTGCCTTGTAGCTGTGTTTGGACTGAATGGTAATTCTTAAGAAAAATCATATGAAGAAAAATGAATTAAAAAATAACTCAGAACAGGATTAAAAAATATTCATTTTTAAAAGACTTTATAACACACTGACTGAGACAAACAGATCAGCTTCCAGAAGAATTGGCCTGATCAAGGCGTAATTTGGTCCACATGCAGAAAAGTGACAGATGGACATGATTCTATTCCTATGGAGTTGGAACATTTTGAATGGCTCCCACAGAGTGTAAGTGCTGGCATCTGGCACTAACCAGAGCATATGACAGTCAGAACAAAGAGAGAAGGTGAAGAAACAGAGTCTGCTGTATTTTAACTGGATGAATTTTAAAAGCGCTTGCATTGTTTGTTTGCATGAGTTTAGGCAACCATAGCATGTAGAGTACCAGCATGTGAATGGTACAGACTGAGCTGGATAATAAAAAAGGAGCCAACAGATGCATTAGCAAAGCATCCCAAGATTTACACCCACCTTTTCTTATTTAAAAAAGGTGGGTGTTATTTAACATATTTTTTGAAAACACTGAATTTTAACTTCTAAGCTCATATCAAATGAAGTGATTTTCACCAGTTGAATTTTTATATAGATAGGTAATGGGCAACTATTTTAAGACAATGCTGTCACATCACTGACTCTAACCTAACCCTCAATTCCAAACACATGAAAACTGTCAAACTATTGTAACTGTGTAGCCCAGAGGCCCACAATCTACTCGACCAAATCCAGACCTTTCAGCAATCAAATGTTTGAACTAATGGGCTACAGCAAATCAAGGTTCCAGTCATCCAAGACTAATCATAATGAGGATCACTTTATTGTGCTCCAAACATTACAACGACCTCTTTGGAATCAGTCTTTACAACACCTTGTGTTGTCTTATGGCAAAATATCTCAGAGCAAAGATGGCTGCATTTCTTGTGGTGCAATAACCAAGAGGTAAGGCTTGAAGTCGAGTTGTATCATATTCTGCAATCCAGCAAGCATATATGGAATCAGCTGAGAATTAGTGCCAAAGCAAAGATGTGGACCACCCTACTGCAGCAGAAAACACAGTGTCTATATCAAGCCTTAGATCCAAGCCTAAAGGAGGTCCACACCCTGCAAGAGATACAGCAATATAACAGTTAATTTAATTTCCACCACTCCCTGGGTGCTAAACTGTTTTGTTAAGAAGTGTAAAATTAATGAGGGGAAAAAATGCATAGTTTGGAATTTGCTGCTCTAAGTTACATTATTTTTATCATCTAAAATTTTTTGAAGATAAAAATCTATTATATATCCACAAATGCACTAAAATATAGGAGCATAACCAGATTAAAAGAGTTCATAGATAAATTCCAGAGAACTTTTTCCAAAGGAGGTGTTTGTCTTTGTAGATGAGCAAAATTAATCGTTTCTCTCTGCAGTGAAATCCAGTCATATGAAGCAGTTCTAAATGCCAAAAGAGGTCTTTCCTACTGAAAAAGCCAGATGACTTGATACCTTCCATAAAAATTTGTGGGACTTGTGCAGTAGAAAATATAAGCACCAGTTTTCCAATATATCAATATTTCTGCTTGTGAAATCTTTAAATAGCGGCAAAATGAAAAAAAGTTTCCATTTTGAAAATAAAATGAAACTTAGCTCTACCATCTCTATAAACACAAGGCAAGGAGAAAGAGAGGCAAAAGTACAACAGATCTTTACTGAGACATCATCTAGGCTGGGATAAACCCGAGCTGGGAAACCTTCTACAGCTGCAGCTTAAATGATGTTTAATGCACAAACGGTCCAAAGCTATCTAGATGGGATCAAAAAGTTAGCTGACGTTTAAGTTTCAAATAACAGCACCAGAGTTATTAAATCCATTTGTACTCTGAATCCTGGAGTCTGGTTCAATGTGTAACTTTAACATATCTGACAGGTTTGATTCAGATTGTTCTCTGATGAAGAGCTGATTCAGCATGTGGTCAGGTGAGATACCAGACTTGCATCTATTGCCAGCATTTATGAATAATAAAGCCTAATTTTAGCAGGTTTAACATTTCTAGTTAATCTCCAATGTGCATCAGTTTTCTACAAACAACAAAAAGGTCAGAGACCAGTGAGCACTCGATCAAAAACAAAATTTCTTCAGCAGAACCACTTTAACGTTATGGAGGGACCCCAGTGATTCTGGGTCTAGGAACTCAGGAAGTATATTGGTGCTTTGTCCCAGATGATGGCAAGATGGAGCGATGATGGCAAGGTGGAGCAGGAAATGAACAGATGGATTAGCCTTTGCCTGGAGTAATGAAGGTGTTGCTGTCTATCATGGTGAAGACCAAACTGAGCTGGGCCTCAGGCTAAGCTTTGCATTTACTGGTCCATCTTCCAACCTTCACTTTTGGTCATTAGTTACAGATCATGTCCTAAAGGATAAGATCTTCTGATCATGAGGCCTTGGCTGGAAGGCTTTCCAGGTACAGCCCACTGGGAGGCGGAAACAGATGTGAAAGGATCATATTTCCCTTCTGACTTGGCAACACATTGATTTTATAAGAAGAGAGAGAGAAATTGATGGGTTGGTTGGTTACCTGTACAGATGTATGGAAGTAGTAAGTATGCAAGAGTGGATGGAAAATTTAATCTGTCTCTGCATCAGTCTTTTGTTTTGTCCCTCTTTTCCCACAATAACCTTACTCAGCTTGAGTTTAATCCTGTTTGACTTACCTTGTGTTGATGTTCGGTCTCTATTTTGTTTTTTGCATTGTAAGCAAACAAAAGTTGATTTCTATTAACATGCAAAAGAAGGGCTAAAAGAAAAAGAAGACAAACAAAAGCCACCAATGTGTTTTTGGCATCTTTGAATCTGTAAATACCAAAACTTTCCTGTCTTTAATTCACCACTACTTCTTTCTCTCTAACTAACTGTATGTACACAGCAAAATTGAATTTTTTTAAATAAATTATATCTCTGTCTTTATATATATTGATTTATATATTTTATATATTAAATTGTATTTACACTGTAAAGACTAGAACTACTCGTTCCAAAAGAGGATTTGTACAAATGGGCTGAACTCTTCTACTTTCATTACTGTACAGGATTGAGCTTCCATTGAAAGAAAAAAAAAAGTACCCATCAGCTACCGCTCATGCTCACAACTGGTGTCCTAGTGGACGTAATACAGCCAGTAGACCAAGTTGAAGAAGGTGAATGTGATCGGGAAGATGACCCGGGACCACTTGTCTATGGCGTTGACGTCTGTGAGATCCGGGATCTTGACTTTCAGCTGTGAGGCTCTCCTCCGCAGGCGGCTTTTCTTGTGTCCGATTGGCCGGTCGAGGGCTGGCCGTCCGTAGAGGTCCCGGCTCGTCATGGGCTTGCGGTACTGTATGCTGGCGCTGTCGTAGGAGAACATGGTGGCCCGGGGATCGTTAAGAGCGCCCATCATATCCGGTCCTCCCATCTCAGTGGGGAGGTTCGTCAGGAGGATGTTGCCATGAGCGTCGACCTTAAAAGGCCACAAGACAACATTTCAGTTTTATTTTCAGCTAAAAAGAAGATTAAATCAAAAATAAATCTGCTAATCACCTCCAGGCATCTGCCTTGTTATTGTTACAATTCCTGCTTTCAATTTGAGGGATTTAGTTCTTGTGGTTTTATCTGAGAAAACCTCCAGGTAGGGGTCAACTTACCCCTTCCTCAATTCACACTTTTTCATATCCAGGTGTTGTCATTTCATTTCTTCTACTTTAAATTCTAAGTTTTCAAAGAAGGTTTAAAATATCCACTTTTTGTGAACTGGTGCCTGCTTGGTATGAAACAACCAGCTGCAGATGGCTCTGTTTCATGCTCAAACTAAATGGGTACAAAAAAGCGAAAAGGTTAAATGAGCAACACCTTATACACCATAAATATAAATTATTCATAATCATTATGCAGAGCTGAGATGTTAGGGCTTAAATTTTAAGATTTACATTAAAAAAAGTCACTTAAAGTTTTCTAAATTTGGCGTTTAAAGCATTCATACCTTTCTGATGGGCAGGTGGCTTGGTAACCAGACAAGTAACACTGTCTGGTCATTTAAATTAACCTGCCGTAAATATAAGTGACTGATATTTTCCACTCAGATCTTCACCCACCTGCACTTTACTGCTCTCCAGTCGGCCCTTATTCTCATTGTTGGACTTAGCAGCCTTTTCCGCTGCTTTCTTCTGTAGGTGAGGACCACGGCCAAAAAAGATGTAGTTAACGAAGGCATACTCCAGCAGGGCCAGAAACACAAAGACAAAGCAGCCCATGAGGTAAATATCAATGGCCTTGACGTAGGGGATCTTTGGCAGGGTCTCCCTCAGGTGGGTGTTAATGGTGGTCATGGTCAGCACCGTGGTTATACCTGCAGAAGTGCAAAAGTCAACAGTGTAGGACATGCAAACATCTCAGACTCAACATTTTAATGTAAGAACTATTTTTCTATTTTTTTGTGTGTCAATCTTTGCAAGATTTTGCTATTCCTTCAAAGTCAAACATGTTGCCAACATTGCACATTCAGTGCCTAACTTTGCCATCCAACCTAGTTCTGAACTCAACAAAATAACATCCAAGAGGGAACCGACAACTGACTGTGAAAACTGACAGCTTCAAGTGGTCCAGAAACTTTGAACTGCGCTCAGAAAAAAGTGGAAATAACCACCAGAATCAGGTAATAAAACTCTTTGTTAGGCCACTGAGAGGCTCAGAGTCTTGACAACTGTTAGATCTGTAAGAAGAATAAGATTTTCTTTAGTAGTAGAGTAGAAGTAGTATAGTAACATTGTTGTGTACTTCTTTTATGAATATTACAAAGTAGGTTTTCCTGATTTAGTTTTAGTGAAGTGTAAATTTTAGGGTCATAGGTTCCCCCTTGACCGTTAGGTTTTTATGTGTCAGAGGTCATTTCAAGGCAAGGTCAAGAATTCATCTCTCAGAAAGATATTGAGTCTCCAGAACTAATTATTTTGTTATATTGTCTTTAAGTCATTAGATGTTGTGCTACATACAGTGGGATTTAAAGTTTAGCCTCGAGGTATTTTCTGAAAAATAATATGAAATCTAATGCTGGACCTTGACTAAAAGAAGAGAATCAATACCCCAGTTTCTATACAAAACAAAACCATGGAGAATCTTATGTTTAAATAAAATTAGCTGGACAATTTTATATTTGCCAAAACAGATTATTGAGCAACCTCCACCTTACAAAATATTTCAATTTGGAATAAGCAAATCAATTGTTTGATTGTGAATGATATTTAACAGTAATTAACCAGCTAACTGCACCTGTGTGTAAGTTTTGAGAACCAGTAAATGAGAAATTACATTTGCAAATGACATCAAAAGGGTTGATCAAGCTGTCTTAATGAAGGCAGAAAGAGAGAAATATGAAATGTTTTATCAAACATGAAACTAAAAGTGCTACAATCAAAAAATACACAAAAAAATATAAACTATATATATCTATACCCAGGGGGATACAGCAAGCTAAAAAATAGACACATAGATCTAAAAGGGACTAACATTTGGCAAATTTAACTATTTTGGAGAAATAGAAAATACTGAATAATTCAATGTAATAATTCGCCTTTTAATATAAAAACTCTGTTAAACTGATGAAAGGTCAAAAATAATCAAAGCTTGTTTATGCTTTTTCAGGTCTAAAATTGACAGATCAGCAAGAGCTAACAAAAAATTAGCGAACCTGAGAGAAATTATGAATAAAAGTCACTGACCTAAAGCCACTCTGGCAGCCGACGCATCGTAATTTATCCAGAAGGAGACCCAGGACAAGATGGTGATCAGAATGGATGGCATGTAAGTCTGCAGAATGAAATAGCCAATATTCCTCTTGAGTTTAAAACTCAGTGACAGTCGTGGATACGAACCTGTTTGGCAAGGAAAATAATATAAGTCTGTGGTGATCTTTTTACAGAATAGTAAAAAGATGGGTACTAAATGAAATAACATCATGTTTATGACATAATGGCTCATTTTCCCCATATGTTATACTTTTCCAGAATAGACAATGAATATTGTCAGTATCAAGATTTACAAAATATTGTATAGAATTAATCTAAAACACTTTTTTAAAAAATCTATTAAACAAGGTTTATTGTTACCTGTGGCAAACACGGCTTTCTTGGACAGGGTTTGGTAATCAATGATGGAAAACTGAGGCAGCTCGATGTTCTCCACTCCAGTGACTGACCCAGCATTACTTCCTCCCTGCCAGTAAAACTCAATGTCGTCTGTAGTGTATCCATCTGAGAGAAAGAAAATCACACACAAAAAAAGTTAAAAAAGTTAAAGTCAACTATATTTGCCTTTGAGTACTTGCACAAGTAAGCAGGGAGAGGTCAAAGCTGTCTTTAAAAATGTCTAGAAACAATTCCCATGGTAGTCACAGGCCAGAGGCCAGAGGACCCACAACCAGAAACCAGTGAAACTCAATGAAGGGAAATGTGCATTTGGTGTAGTTCTACTCAAAAGTTAGTCCTTTTTTTCCAATCTTCTCTACAACATGCAGGATGTCAGGAAGAGAAACTGGTGAGGGAAGTAGGAAAGTCACTCTGACATCATCTCTCTGATGTTGGAGATTCACGGCTGTGTTAGTGTGTGACTGAACAACCTGAACTGTCGGTGACTTCCTGAATGGATTATCAACACATTTATTCAGCAGGATGTGAACCCACATAAGCTACAGATCCTTTGGGGACATCTGCCAGAGTTTTCTCTTTCATTTCTGTTTTAGTATAATTCTTTCACATCATAAAAAGGAGAGAAAATACTTTGCAGGTTGAAAAACATGACTCGAGGGAATTACTTTCACACTCAGAGAACATGAAGTCTGGAATGAATCAGCTGGAATGAAAACGGTTTATGGTCCTCATCTGTCAGCAAACTGCTGTCAGGAAGAGTTTTTAAAAAACGTGGCACGTCACTGGAGATACAAACCAGGAGTTAACACACAGCTCTTGCAGTGGTGCATCATCCCTGGTCTTAGTGAGGAGCAATTTCAGGACCTTTACTGGTGGATTGATGACACTGAAGAATAACATTTCAAACTTGTGTACTATATTTTTCCAACAGATAAAATTATCTTCTAGTTTAAAAAGAATGAAAGATTAATTTCTAAGACTGCCACACATGGTGGTTGTAATGCAATGGTCAGAGTCTACCTTACGTCTTCGGGACCTGAACAGTTTGGTGATGTGACAGATTGTTCTCTTTTGTAGAAAAGTCTTCACAGAGATTTCATCGAAGCATGCTTGGAAAATGCGACAAGACAAACCCACCTATGAATTACTTGGACAAAAACAGGTTCTTAAGTCACAAAAAAGTCACTTGAGCCACGTTGTCAAAGCACTGGCCAAAATCCAATTGTGATTCTGTTGCAATACTATAAATATGCTCATAAATACTCATAAATCCTTCGCTGTGTCTGAAATAAAACAGCTCTGTACAGAATAGTGTCTCAAGACTCCTCCACAGAAATGAAAAAAGGGCTCATTACTACCTATTGTAATAAGTGCCAGCTACTGCTGCAGTTGTTTTATTGTGCCTAATAAAGGAAATCATTTCAATACTGCATGTTCTATTCACTTAGATTTTCTTTGATTGCCTAAAAGGTTTAGGTTTGAAAAAAAATAAAACAAAAACAAAAAAAAACATGGTAGCAGTCTCTAAGGTGATACACACAGCAAGATGCTGTCTTGATCAAATAATTTTCTACCAGATGAAATATTACCGACTCCTCAATTTTTCCAAAGGAGAACATTTTATTCAATTTTTTACTTGATCTTAGTGCTAACTTTTTCATTGGCCAAGTTGCTCTGTGCATTAAAACAACAAACAAAAGCTGCAGATCTTATGCTAAATGTGGCATCTCATATTCTTTGTCCTATGAACTCAAAACTGACTGTATTTTAATAAATTCATGCTTCCTTCCAGCTGCTGGACATCCTCCAGTTTCCCAGAGGCTGAGTTGGACAAGAAATAAAGCCTTTCCCTTTACTTTCCCTGGCAGGTCTCTGGTCTGCATCTACAGGCTGAAACAGAATGACCCGGCCCCCAATGCCCCGCCGGTAATTAGACCCATTTAATTGGGCCAATGTGTTTCTCTTTTCAGGCTCTCCAGCTTATCTACCGGCAGTTTGAAGGATTTCTGGGAATTAACAGCTTATCGAGAGCGGAAGAGCTTCATTATGGTTTTACTTCATTTTTCTCATCTCTTTTCAGCATGAAGAGGAGCATTTTAGAAATGACTTAACTGAACAATTAGAATAATTTGAACACACTGAATGATTTAAAAGGAGAATTGCCTAATCTAATGTCAGTTCTTCCAAAGGGAATCAAATATCTCCTGATTTATTGAACTAAATTCAGTTTGAGTTTGTGTTTTTACCTGTTTGAAGTACATGTCTTATACATAAAAAAAGGCTCCATATCTTTTTTCAAATATAATCTCTTCCTTTGTAAAACCATCTCCCAGTTTTGTTCATACTATTGTAGGTAGACATCCTGTCTACTTAGGCTCAAATTGTATCATGAGAGACATTTCTACTAATTTTCAACTCAAAACCTGAAAAAAATGTGCTTTCTAAATAAGAAAACATGATAAAATCAAAGCATTCAATCGATCATAAACTAAAAATGGTATTATTATTTTGAAGTATTTGATGGTGGTGCTACTTGGAAAAGTTGGTATTTAGGTGCTCACTGTCTGAGATCCACTGCATCTTCAAATTAATTACCCCACTTTAATGTCTGCTGCACCTTCACAGGATGCTATTGTCACAACAATGTTTTATTGTGGGTTTGGTTTTTTGAGAGTGATGTCTTAGTGTGGAGAAAAGCATGCACAACATTTCGCCAGTGGCCCAGAAAGTTAAGTAATTGCTTTATCTGATCAGAGCGCCTCCTTCCATATGTTTACGGGGAGCATATAAATGGCTGCTTCATAACTGGAAACTTAGCTTATCTTTCTATATGGTTTGACACATTGAATGGCTTATGGTTCAATTAAAATATTCTCCCAAGTGAGTGGTGCAGCTCCTCCAGAGCTAGCATAATAAGGTCTTTTGGCTGCTTTGTTTATCCTGTCTGTTATGGACAGCCATATCTTTGTATACTTGAAGTTTTGCCGTATGTTTTCCATGTTCAGTTAATTGATTGTACAGTGCTTTGTACAAAAATTGTGATATTGGTTTTCAGTATAATTCTGCTTTCAGCCTTCTCCTTTGTCTATTTCATGTTAGTCTATCATATAAAACCAAACAAAATGGACGACAGTCTTCAGTTGCAGTGTAATAAAATATGCAAGCGAATATAGTTTTGCAACTCACTGTAATATCCCTAGAGATTTGGTCTTTATTTCTAATTTCAATTTTCTTAGCTATTGAAATTTCCACATTAAGATGGATAGATTGCATTCAATTCTTTGACTTTTATGACGTTAGTTACTTTATTAAAATTTAAGACTTAGGCATTTTGATCTAATTCAATCTATATTTGAGTATGAAATGTTTCTGTGCTTCAGATTCAGAGCTACCAGGTTTGCACACTTAACTTCCATGCTCAAATGTAACATCTATTTTATATTACACAGAGTAGATTCAATAAGACAGCCCAGAGGAGCATGCATGTGCATGCTTCTGTTTGATTATTAAAGAAAGCTGATATCTGTTAGACACAGTAAATTTGAGGAATTTGGACAATGGCCATGAGCCTTATTTCTATACCCAATGTTACTTATGTACAAGGCTCTAAAACTATGACATAAAACAAATTCTTAGCCCTCATCAGTTTAATCTGTTAGAGAATTGAGAAGGGAGAAAGTTATCATTTAACAGGCACACATACATGAGCACCCCCTCTTACCATTATAGAAAACCCACTTTCTATAATGAAAGTGGGTTTCGTTAAATTAACCTTTGGGTTAATTTGCAGACCTGACCACTGCTTAAACTTCTACAGAAAACTAAAAACAAACAGTCAAAAAATAAACTGATGTATATTAATGAGTTTTTGGAGAGCTCATATGGCTTTGTTGCATAAGCATGACTTATGCGCGAAGCTCCAGGCAGAAAGGGGCTCCACCCTCTCTAAATGTAGACATATACTGTGTAATGTGCGAGACTTTAACTATTCATGTCAGCATTGTTAATTATTTAACTGAAGCACTCCGGACAGGTCCAGTTAAACAGGAACTGTCAGTTCACATTAGATGGGTTTAGGCTGAATGTGACCTTAATAACCTCAGATGATTCTGACCTGTGAAACTGATGTTCCAGCTAATTTTAATAAAAATACAGTATTATTAAGCCTCATTTGGTGTGAGAACCATTTCAATAGAAAAACTGAAAATGAACCACAACCAGAACACAATTGGTCTGGGTGGTATAATCAATTTACTGGCAAAAAAAAAAAAAAAAAAAACACAGGGAGGACCCACAGTTAAGTTTCTTTTATCAGCATGAACACCTATGGATTTCCAAGAGAACAGATGGATAAATTAAGAATGGATGGATGTAAACATGCCTGGACCAAGACTGGAACAATGGAAAATGGTTGGATGGACAGTCAAATGTAATATGTGTTTATTAACAAGTAGTTGAGATGCTAATGCTGTACATCTGTAGTAAAGATAATCTACAGATCTGACATGTACATGAAATACCATGTAGTTAAATTATTGCTTTATAAATCAGAATTATGATTATTCCAGATTTATAAAGGGGGCTCTGATAAGATGTGTTTTCTTTGGTTTTTATAATTCTTTTTAACTTGTCCATTTTCATCACTTGGTTTTAGCTGCTGGAGGATGTAGTAACAGGTTTTAGTAAAACTTTTCTAGATCTGTGAACTGAGCCTTTGTTTTACATTATTGTGGATTTCTTCATCTCTGGTTAACTTAAAGAAAACCAGGTGTCCAGTTTCACCACATGAAGATCATGACAGGTTCTTGTGTCAGAGTTGAGTGATATCTGAAAACAGACCGCTCTATCCAGGTTCACTCAGCATCTCTTGAATCAGTTTACACACAAAAACTGTGTTGCTTACAGCTCTCGATCTCCAAGGTGCAGTTCTGCTCATCCAGTGGGTATCTGCGAAGGTCCATCATGCAGGCGGCTGTCGTGGTGATCCTTGGTGAAAACAACAACAACAAAAAATGTTAATTTGATTTTTTGAAGTTTAAGGATCGAGCAGAACTCACAGAACCGACCTTCAAAACCTCGAATTACACAAATCCTTTTAAACCTTGAGTGGAGCGAAACTATCCGTCTCGTTCCCATAATTGCCTTTGCTCTGCTGAATTGACGTCTGCAGCTCTTCTCCCTTTGTAAAGCTTTGTGTTTTAATCTCAATTATAGCAGGCAGTAATTAGGAGTTAACAATAAAACCGGATGAAACTCTTAGTGAAGTTTTACAGCCGAAGCAACAACCGTCACAAACTGTTCTCCGTACGGATAGAGCCACACTGTATTTACAGCCTCATAATCTGTATATACGACAGAAAACACGATTAAAGGTCATCCCAGATATCCACTGTAGCATGTAGGTAGATTATAATTAATGTGCCGAAATGGAAGGATAAATTACAGGCATTTTTCTGGGTGACCTGCACTTATACTCATTCAGGCAGAAAATCTGGTGTCGTAGGGAATACGTGGAACAAACAAACGATCCCTGCACGCTTCATAGACTTTAATTAGACATACGTAAAGCTGCATTATACTCAGTGAAGCTTATTAAAAAGTATTTATTGTCAAATGAAATACAATCTGTCCAAAATAAAACATTCCTATAAATTTTTTATGTTGATTTATTGACATACACATTTGGGGATCTTCAATGTACAATTCGGGCATTAGATCTGATGCTATTTAGAGAACACCCCAACAAGATGAGGAAAAAAAAATAATACACCACGAATAATGAATGGAATATTTATTTAAATGTTTCTTTTTTCCTTCACTGTGAAGAAAATGAAATACTTTTCATTTTGTCCTGATTGTCTTTTCATGGACAAAATGCAATAAAGTAGCAACTGTACTTTTATAAAACAATAATGTGAGTAAGCACTTTGGTTCAAAACAGTTGTGGAAATGAACTTTTTCCACTTTGGTCAACATTTGGTGGCAGCTGAAGAGGTTTGTCTTATCAGAGCCAGTTATTAGCAGAGATCCTTCAGATATCAGTGCCATGCTACACCTCATTTTTTCACCATGAAATGTAAACTTGTTTAATGTGTAAAATGGAATGAGTAATCCTAAAGTATTTATGGGTTAGTATATTATATATTTAATACCTCCCTTTAGCTCTGGTTTTGCCCCTGTCCAAACATTTTAAAAAGAAGCAACAGGAGGTTCCCATGTATGACCTGACCACTGGTTCTGCCATTTTCTGTGTCTCAGATTTGGACGTGTTGTCTCGTTCTTGCTGCTTCATACTAAACTAATTGTGAACCGATCTAGGACACTCTGAAGGTCCAGACTTCAAAACACCAACAGAACCACATTGTTTACAAAAAGAGCTCCAACAAATTTTCCAAGATTCCACTGGAGAAAAAGCTATTCCATCACGGCATAATATAAACTCTACTGAAGATGAAAAGTATTCTTGGGCTCTAGTTTGTGCACCCAACTGTGTAACAATAAGGGATTCACAACTATGACAGCAGAACTGCAGCCTTCTCCTTACAAGTCAGTGAATGGACACTTTCCATTTGTACTGTCTCTCCATGCCTCTTCACCAGCTTTAAGATTTATCCAAAGCTTCCTAAGGTGTTCAGTGTGTTCAAGAAAAAGATGAACAGCCAGGAATATTCAGAAGGTAAAGGATAAATATTTATGTTTTTATGGGCTTTTAGCGTCCATGACAGTATAAGAGCTGGGAAAACGTGAAGACAGCTGAACTTTTACTGTCAGTGTAAAGAGGTATTAAAGGATTTTTTTTTCATTTTTACAAGTCACCCTGGAATTCCTGCATATGCTATTTTTAGTCTCCTTTCAGAAAATACTTTCTGAAGCACAAAGCCTTAGGAAAAACTCTAAAGATAAAATCCATAACAAAATTGCAAATGAACACAAATAAATTATGCAAATAAATGAATTTCCATCTACCCACAAGTAGTGCCAGTCTCATATGGGGTGCTGTTTCTAAACCATGTTATCCACTCATTTATAAATGAGTTTATAAATGAGTGGTCCAAACAAAATATGTTAGAAAGCTAAATATTTAGTTCTGAGCCAGCCAAATATTTGATTCACAAATTGCTAGTTCATAGCTAAATATGTGCAAGTTTGCTTGCTAACATGCTGAAGTGGACAATCAAAAATAAAAGCTGTGTCTTGAAAACTTCTGCATTAACTCCTGCTGGGTATATCCTCCTCCTGAGTCATGTACCCTGAATCTTATTACTAACAATTCACTATTATGCACAAGTTTATTTTGGTCTATCTTATAAAAGTACAAATAAAATGTATGTTTGTGCTTGTTATATGACAAAGCAAGTGCAGTGGTTATAATGCGTATTTGTTATTTAATAGCCTCAGACTTTTTACTGTGATTTCCCCACATGTGGCCTTGTGATCACTGACTCGTTAAACAGAAGCTTTTCAGACTCTGCATCAGCTCAGACCCAGCAGCACAGACTAAACTCAGCCTGTGTCATCTTTTCTTTCCATTGCTGAGAAAAGCTTTCTCTTAGTTGTGACCATACCCGAGATGTGCCGCTGATGATGATGTGGAGATAAACAGGTGTTTGATGTTGTCTTCATTATTCCAAGGTGCTGAATTTCCAATAATTGGGATGTGAGAGTGCCAATCAAAGCTGAGGTCATTTTGGGAAACCTAAATATAGCCCTTGTCTTAGCAGCGAGCACACTGGATGAATAATTGTCAGAGCCTTTGGGGGATAATGATTCTGCAGCAGAGCACTGTGAAAGATATGATCATCAGTGCTTCAGATTCTGGGGCTAAAGTAGAAAAAGAAGGAGAAATATACTCCCAGCAATGCAGGGAAAACCTCCTGGACAAAGGCCCTTATGTCATTCCTTCATTGTGTTCAATAAATTTGTTAAACCTTTACTTCAATCTCCTGTGAGTATTTTGCACGTGGGAGCAAAGCTTAAAAAGAAATATGACAAATCATTGTAAGGGTCACAAATTACCTAGGGGTTGCATTTTAACATCCATGATCTAGAGCATGGCAATTGAGTGCTTACAAAGAGGACAAATTAGATTCATGGTTTTTATCCAAACAATAAGAACAGTGGCAATATCCTGTAATAATTACATTTTATATTGTTCCGGAAACACACATATTATTTAGGATGAAAATTCTGGTCCAGGATTGGGGTGAAAAGGTCAAAAAGAATGAGAAAAATGAAAAGTACGAGCCCTGGAAATTAAACGGAGGAAGAAAATTAGCTTAGAGGGAAATAGTCTTGTCTATCTGAATACACTGAGAATTGCTTCACTTTAGGAAGAGACAGAGTGCTGAAAACAGCCCGCAAGGCCCATATTCATTCAGCCTCAAAAGAAGAGTTGTTTCTGGGTAAATCCAGCATCCCTGTCCTTTTCATTGGGCTGCTTCAGGTCTGACTTAATGCTTTCTGCTTCCCTCTCTCATTGTATCTCTGTTTCTGTCTTTGAAAAGCTGCTTCTATGTGGACTTTAGAAAAAAAAACCTGATCTGAACAGACAGCTCCTCCAGACACAAATACAACACCAGCATCTGAGGCTAAATGCTCCCAAGAACCATAAAAGCCCAGAAATTTAAAGTTTGTTAAAATGTAAAAAAAAAAGAAAAAAAAAAGTGCAATAGTAATAATGTGTTTGTGAAGGATAATGACTCTTAAGACGTATGAAGGCATTTGGACCAAATGAATTGAACAAAAGCTTTTAAGCTAATCAACTAATTCAATGAAATGTGTTAATGTGTTAGAGCAGATTGCACAGAATCTGACCTGTTGACATCATACCTGGAGAAAAACCACAACCCCTGTTTTTCTTAAAGGTGAAGGATAATGTATTTTCCAGGAACATAGTGTCATTTTTTTAGCACAGTAATGCACCTATTTGGAGAGTGTTGCCAACAGTGTGAGGTTGCCTGACATCATCAGCAAGTGTGAGTGAATGCATCTGTACAAATCGTGAGTTTTAAATGAATAGGGCAGCAACAATATTTATCATGGACAAAATGAATTTCTGCAGGATGTTCAAGGATGTCCAGTTGAAACCTGTTCTTTTCTCTTGTGAATCTTCATCCAGTTGTTTGATTCATCTATAGAAGAGACGGCGAATGCTGCTACGTGAGACCGACTGGTAAGAAAACCAATGAAAAAAGCATCCAAGAGCAACTTCGACCGACAATCAGGGGTAACACTTTATTTTACGGGTTGTGAAGAAGACTGTCATGACACCGTAAATAAATAGTATTGCTGATTAAACTTTAGAAATTATGTAGTTTTATGTTATTAAAGCTAAAGTTTAATCAGTAATGCTTTTATAACAAATTTATGTCAAATCATAATTTCTTGGTTAATGTCAAGTTGTCATATCAAAGACATTTTACATAATGTCAACTTTTAATACTCATAAATACTCATGAAGACAACCTCATGTTCATGTCAGGTCCTATGTTTATGGCGGTGTCATGACAGTCTTCTTCACAACCTGTCAAATAAAGTGCTACCCAATCTGGTCCAATTTATTGGACCCCTTGTAATTTAATTTTCCACCATGATGAAAAACAGTGTCACCGTACAGACTTGAAAATAAAGCAATTCAAATAGCAAAACAATTTGATGAAGTTTCGATGCCCCAAATCATTATCCTTGACTAAAACCCACTAATTGTTAGTCTGCTGTCTGAGATTTTGTCAACTGCATTCCAAACAAGGCGCGGCATGTTTTGAATTCCATGTTTTTTTTTTGTTTAAACATTTTTATTAGTTTTGTGTTTCACAAACATAGGAAATATAACATTGTTTTCTTCTATTTTAGAATCACTGTGAATCACATCTTTATCACAGTTTGTTCATAATATTCTCTGCTAGCCGCTAGGACATATATATATATATATATATATATATATATATATATATATATATATATATATATATATATATATATATGCATATATATATATACAGAGGCCAAAGCGCCCTTCACAAAACACTTTAAGGAGGCTTAAGGTGTCTTTGTCAATGGACCGATACAGACATGAAACCCACCTCTGTTGCATCCTAACTTGCTAAGCAAAGTACTCACAGATCTGCAACCAGTCCCTAGAAAGTTTTAAAACTGTAAATAAGTTTTAAAACTAGATGAGTTCTGAGTGAAAAGAACTCAAATAAAAAAAGAAATAAAAAAGTGAGATATACAGGTTTAATTTTAAGCATTTCATCTGCCACTATAAGACGATACATATTTTGTCTGGCCTCAATGTTTTGAAAAATAAAAAAGATAAAATGCAAAAACTAAGAATGCATATTTTAAGAGTAGTGCTTACGGCAATGTAGCCCCACACCTCCTGTCGTCCAGCACTGCTGGCTTTATTTTTGAAAACGAACAGCTATGTGGAATATCTTGTGATCTATGAATGCCCAGAGGGAGCTCAGAGGCAGCTTGTCTTCGAAGGTTCATCACAAAAATATTTTGTGAAAGAAGCTTGTGAAGCAGAAGAAGCTGTGCTGAGTGTGAATTAAATACAGTTCTTAACTTTAAAAACAAAGTTTAAAAAAGCAAGGAATGTTCATGTTTTACCTGCACACAACTAAATAAAAATGTATCAAAACATATGTTATGAGCTGAATTACGAGAGTCATCACATTATGCTGAGGAGTCATCAATTAACCTTGTACTGCAGCAAAATGCTCTCAGAGCAAATCCTGTAAGTAGGACCAAGATTATAGATGATCTTAAAGTCAGAAAAAAAATCAAGTTACTGCTGAGCTTTGCAAGTGAAGTTTTATTAACATATTATAACATTCTTAACAAATTTAACCTAAAGCTAAAGCAACATATTTGTTGCGTTTAAGAAACTGCAACATCCTGAATCTCACTAGCAAGGAAGTAAGTGTGTTACAAAAGAAAGGCAATGTGTCTTTCAATACCTGGCTTCAAATTTATTAACTTAAATCAGGAATTGAACTTAGAGTCTGTGTCTTCCAGTACTCATTTGTGAAAAAAAAAAGAAAATAAAAGGCAAAGACAGAGACGAAGAAGCAGCTCTAATATCGTTGGCATTCTGCCTCTGTGGTCAGAAAAAATTCCCTGATCTTCATCAACCATGTGACTAGTTCACAGAAACCAACCTGACCAGATCTAATCTCATTGAGGAGAATCAATGAAGTCAGGAAGAAATAGTATCAGCATTGGAAACAACCAACCTCAACAAAAATGAGATTTGTAAGTACAAGTCTTTCAAATTAAAGAACTGTTATATATTTTTCTGTAATATACCAAAATGTATATATGCTGACAATATATAGTTTTGTATCTGTTTATTCACAGCAGAACAACATCTGAGACTAAGGAAACTATTACTCACTGGGCAGCTGATACCATGTGCCAGTGTTGCAGTTTGACTTGAACCATCCTGAAAGACATATATCTACAAGTGCATTCACATCCTTTCCTTATCCTGCATCTCGGGGAGCAGTGTACCAAAGGCTTTCCAGTTAAATGAAGGGTTGCCATGTTGGTTGTGTATCCTGCTCTGGTCAACAGTCAGAGCGCCCTGCTGCTCAGCCACCTGCCATCGCTTCACCAAATCCTCAATGTCATGGCTTAGGATTGGTGCATCATTGATAGAAATTTCCATCATTTCAATAATTTTTCTTTATAATCAAAATGAATGTTTTATTTTGCTCTGAAAGCTTTCTGCTAACAGGCAAGTTTTATCTTGTGAGAAATGGTTAACGATGATATATTAACCACAACCATAAACACAATTTATTAAAAAACAGAAATGCAACGGAGGAGGAAATTATCAAGTTAGATCTGAAAAAGGTTAACACAGAATTATGTACTGGATGATCCCACAGTGCTGATGGGTTTAATATTTACAAGTCAGACCAGGTTTTCTGACTCTCTATTTGAAGAATCTTTGTGTCCATTAAAAAACAAAATAAAAGATTACTCAGCTTTTAAATAACTAATTATATAAAAATAAGTAATTTTTAATTTTGCATTATCTTTGGTCTAATGGGTTACAACTCAAACACAAAAGCACACAAAAAGGGTTAAAGAAGGGTTAAATAAATAAAAAAACAAATCCACTGATGATCTTACATTTTGGCATTTTAAATGTCCCCGTCTTTTGCAGAAAAATCGCGTCAGCTTCATGGATTCTTAGTGGATTAATCATCTCTTTGAAGCAACATACTGGTAACACCAACACATTGATCAAAACTGAATTTGGGTTTTGCAACAATTGCAGCAATTAATTGGCTTAGTATTCCCCGAGAAAGATTTGCATGCTTTGAACAGAAGTCTTTGGAAACACAAACATCCCGGAGGCAGCACTGTTCCTCATTAAAACCTGGTCCCTAAATCCCTTTTATATGTACAATCAACAGTTTTAAATCAACCTCTGCTAGAGCAAGAGATTTCAAGCTTGTTGAAATATGTCATGTCTTATATTTCCCAACAAACCAATCTGGGATTTGTATGAATGCATTTAAATCATTGGAAGAAAACCTTGTCTTTAGTACAAACATCCTCAACATTTCTCAAAATCTTGTTTCCAGATGATTATCTAGATGATAGAAAACCTAAGAATTCAGAGCAATACTGCACCATACATAACTGCCAGCTTTAAACTTCAAATGTTGTTTGTGCGTCATTAAAAAAAGTTATATTTTTTCTTATTTGTGCTATTTTTATGTACCTCCTAGGTTCCGTTGTGGAAAGCTAGAAAAATATCTGTGACTCTCCTAAAGCAACTGGCAGAGAGATGCAGAATGGTTATTGTCAAAAGCATCGGTTTTAAATGAGGACCAAGAGGAAACTGTGCCAAAAAAGAAGGCGACAGTCTGAAAACCCTTTTACGTTTTCAACTAAAAGGTCAGAATTAATTGTTACCTGAGGCCGTAAAGCACAGTTCCATCAGGGTGTAGTCGGATCATCCTGTTCTTGACCGTCACCCCATGGACAAAAGACTTCTTGTCATTAATAAAGTAGGTGTCAGGAACCCAGAGCTGGTCAGCCACCCGGTTGTCCAGGGTCAGGTTTAGGGGAATGCCTGTATAGGATAGCCGCTTATCTCTCCAAGACTGCTGGAAATACATGGTGATGGTGTAGTCCTAATGGGGCACAGAGACAGAAAGACTTTAGTTCCTTATTATTTCTTTGATATTGGACCAGCTTTCAGTGTTTTCTCTATTCCAGTGTTGAGAGTCTGGTTTGTACATTTGGTGATCACACTTGCATAAGTTCAACTTATTTCTCAGAATACACCAATGTTGTAAAAATAACTGCTCTGTCAGGCAGCTAGCTTTTTCAGCTACAAAGACTGTGTGTGCTTTGATGTCTGTTTTACTCTTGATTCTTATGTTTATTTCTAGCTGAATGAAACTCAAAATGACACAGAAGTGATCTGTAAAAACTTTGCCAGGCATTTTCAGGTCTTCTCTGAATATTTCTGACATCTCCAGATAAATTTTTTAAATAATTAGCCTTGTGCCAGACGAAAACGTCAAGGATTGATTTCCTCGTCAAGTCTGAACTTTGTCAAAGTTCAGATGGAAGGATTAAGGTTTACTAACCTGAGTATTCAATTACTGAAACTGCTGTGTGTGTTATTGGTGCAACTAACACACAATGTGGGATCAAAACTATTCCCGCTGTCCCTCCCTCATAAAAACACGTGTTCCAGCAGCAGAACAGACTGCAGAAGCGAGTTATGTTGTGTGATGTCAGCTCTTATTAAGCAGTGGGGAAAGTCACTGGCCTCCATGCTCCAGTTCTGAGACTCAGACAGTTGGAACTCCCAGCTTCACCTGCTCCTCAGAGGCTCCCGTTCCTGCATTGGTCTCAACTCTGCCACTGCACCACCAGTCATTCCTTTCTGTGACTCAGTCAGGAATGGTGGAATAATGCAATAGGAGATGGTAATGGTGTTCGAAATGTATTTGTTTAGATGTGAATAAAAATAACTTGGGACGATGTCTTGTTTTTAAGCATCACTGAGCTTAGTCTAGATCTAATGTCAGATGAACCCATTTTACATAAGAGCTGTCATAAAGCATTCAGACACAAACAATGCAGTTTTCTCCCGTGAGAGCCAAGATCTCTCAATATAAACATTTGCATGAAGTTGGAAATCTAGCATGGATTGGACTAGATTAAGACATCAAATACATAAAACACTCAACAGTGTTCCAAAAGAAGCTTAAGCGGGATGAATCGTCTTTTTTGGGGGTTTTTTGCTCCTCAGAGTTGATGTCTGAGCCTCAGGGAACATGTGTTTTACTGCTGTCTCTTGCTTTCAGGGTTAACATCTCAACATCAGGAAGGCACTCGACTCATGTTCTCACTTTCCAGCCAGGTCCATTAAAATGCTGGTGGAGTCCTGCGTGCTTCCTCCTTTTATGTAATTCTAACCCTTCAAATTACATTTTGTCAGGGCTTTGAATCCACGAGGTGTTCGAGCATTCGAATTAGCTGCTGACTGGAACAAATGAGGAAGCTGGGGAAGTGATGTCATGAAAAGAAGAGGCTAGAGTCATAAAATCTGATTTAACAACAGGTTAAGATTTTTAAACTTCTTTAAGGCGTGTTTACGTAACAGGCAAATCTAATGTTTCACATCCGACCATATATTATCTTCTACTTATGTACAATGGAGGTAAGAGGAAAATGCAGACATTCTTTCCATAAGAGACACCCTTTAACTTCTCCTGAGGTATCCTATGTATTTTGAGGAGATAAAAGCTATCCCAAACCAACTTGGGCCTATATGATTTAACATTTTGTTAAATCACAAACTGTGATTTAACAAAAAAGATTAATGAGCCACACTGCATTACTGTCTGACTTTCTTTTGCATATCCACTGTCTGTATTTTAGGTATAGCCTACCACAGGAATAAGCTGATTTCCACCATGTGCCAGAGTGCACCAGGATGTAGTTTTGACCCCCAAAGGTGCAGTATCCGTGAGCAGAAAACCTCAGGCACCTCCACAGGATGGCAATGAGTCCGACACAGGGGTAGGTCTGCAGCGAAACAGTCCCAGAGCCAAAGAGGCACAAAGAGATGCAGAGCACCTGACACCTGACCCAGCAACGTAACCACGTCTCCTAAAGCCAAGTCTGGAGCCCAGTAGCACCTGTACAAGCATCTGGCAGCAAGACTTTGCTTCTTGGATGATTTAAAAATCAACAATTACCGAAGCCCCACAAACTGACTTCACATAAGCGGAAGAAGATGTATGACTGCAAGGATGAATGTTACTGTAGAACAGGGGTGCCCAAAGTAGGTCCTCAAGGGCCAGCATCCTGCATGTTTTAGTTCTCTCCCTGGTTTAACGCACCTGAATCAAATAATGGCTCATTAGAAGGCCTAAGAAGAACACTGACAGGTTGTTAGTACTACCTGGGAGATAACTACAATGTGCAGGATGCTGGTCCTCGAGGCCTGACTTTGGGCACCCCTGCTTTAGAACATCAGTGATCCATGTTAGATAAGGTCAAGTAATTAGATTTCCTTTGATAGTACAGGCGTTCAGACCATCTAAAACTCATCAATGTCTCAGTTGAGAGCTGGTAGCATTTAGAGAGAAAATCGCCAGGTTTCGGTTGATCTAATCTGGGAGAAGAGCAGCCGTTAGATTCTTCTCACAGCTATTCAGCGTTTTCAGCATCCGTTGCACTTTGCCAAGATGCTTATGTGTGCATTTCTCAGGAAGCTCGAGGAAAACAAACTTTCTGAAAGGAAAAAAAAAAAACGCATGTGTGTTTGAGGGCCATCTGTACCTTCAGAGGTCACCATTCAACACCAAGACGAGTGTGGCTATAGTAGAAAAAAAATAAGGCAACCACTGCAACTGCTTTGGCCTGATAAATACGTTAACTAGAACACAGAGACTGCAGGGAGATTGCAGGCTATAGAACAAACAGATTTGCAGATTTAAACTACATAGCTGCAAAGATAAAACAAAACTTTAATCAAAGCAAGTCATATAGTAGGATGAGTCAGCTGAATGTCCTTATTTTTCACAGTAGCAGAAGAAAAACAAAATCTTCAGCCAGTTTTGCGAAAACAGGTGATAAAAACATATCAAATATACATGGTAAAAGGTAAAAAAAAAAGTGAACCAATAAGATAGAGAAAACCAGAGTGTAACAAGTGACAATAAAAAGGGAGAATGAGGTAGACTGCACTACTGAACTAGTGTGTAGTTTTTAAAGCTTTCTACTTTTGTCATTTTAAAATGAACTTTAATTGCAAGTTCAAATAAAAGATAAAAGAACAAAGAAAGGTTTGAAGTGTGAAATTCTGGACAAGTAGACAGATGAGAATAATTTCTCTTGATCAGTCATTCACTATGCTTTTCAAAGGTCTTTCAGAGTTTTGTGTGACCTTTGGATGGATTTGTTTTTACTCAGTTTTACTCCAGTTGTTACCTTTGTAAAGGATTTTATTTGACTCTAAGAAATTTAGAAAGGACTGAAAGTCAAGACATCAAACAATGTTTTGTGAAAGACCTAAATTGGTTTTCCTATCATTTTTTAGAAACAGAGATGTCCATGATGGTAACATTCTTTAGAAATAATTTTCACCACCACCAAGGACCATAGACATCCTCAGAGAGGGGAATGTTGCATTGCTGCTTTTAGTCTGGTTAGATCCATCCACACTGACATGTATCATTCTAAAATGAAACTTTTAAAAGGTTTACTTCTGTTTTATTTTTTTCACCATACATTTAGTAACTTCGCTTTAGATTCAAATTTTAATTTGTGCACAGAAGAACACCTCCTGCAGTGAGAATCTTTCTGCACTTTTAACTTAATGTGTGTCAAATGCCATCTGTTAACAATCTTGAGAAACTTAATTTTTCATGTCTGAAGCAGGTTTTGGGGAGTATCAAGTATCAGTTGTCTATTTCAGAACATTCTCAAAGAATGATTCCCGCAGATGTTGTCTTAAATATTGCCAAACTCTACAAATATGAACTTGTAAATCCTGACCAGTCTCAGCACTGGGGTCCGGTTTAAACCAACAGAATGTTACATCCAAACATCCAGCTTAATAGAAGTAATAAAATAAGAATTAGTCATTCAGCCAGCCACTGGAACTGTTAGTTGCAATAATAAACTAGGGATGACGCTACGTCTCATGAGGCAGCGGCGAAAAAGTGCTGCCTCATAAAGCTGAGAACACAGAATATGAAGCAGAGCGACCTGCTTGTGTTATGCGAGGGTGGGTTTACAGTCTCTTTGGGGATGGAACTATTAATAGAAGCAGCTGTTCCCCTCAGCACCCACATGTCCATCATCAAGGTGGCACCTCGGTGTTTCAGAGGCTGAGTGATAGCCTAAACGTGAACCAAATACTGAGTACTTACAGCCTAGAATCAGGGACAGGAGGTGCTTCCTTACTGCAGTGAAACCACGCTGACCTGCACCTCATGTGGGCACCAAATCTAGATGACCAAATGTTGAAGCTTTGCTTCCTTTTACACATTTACCTAATCTGTGAAAATATGTCTCTGACACTATTACACTTGATCCATTTCTTTCATCCTGTGGGTCTGACTTACCCTTATATTTTCATCTTAATGCGGCAAAGGGTCTTGTGCTGCAATAACCTCACTGCAGTGTGCTGCGGTTTGACCTAATTCCTCCTTATCTATAACCATCTTTGGCGGAAACTGAGCAAACATCAGAAAAGGGATTACAAAGTGAAGAAGGAGGAAAGGCAATATCACTTTCTAATCAGAAAAATACTGAAACCACCGCAGAACCAGGGCACCTGATGTAAAACAGATCCTGATCACAAGTCAGGCAAATACAACTATAAACTCCTGAAATATCAAAGTTATAATCAGGGGTTTGCTGCTCTGGAACATACACTGCCAGGCAAAAAGCTGAACGCAAAACGCAGAAAAATCTATTTTTCTACATGTTACTGGAAGCCAAAAAATAACAGAAAGCATGGGTAGTTTGGCGTTTTGGTTCAACAGTTCACAATTCCTCAGTGCCTCGGTTTGTAGGTGCCAGCCTGTCAGTGGGTTCATCACACCATTGGTCCATTTATATTTTCAACATAAACACACCCACGCAATTCAGGCTAATCACA